GGGCAGAATATTGATGCACCGCTTTCCACTATGGGCCGCACGTATGTCTTGTACGCCTTGATTAAGACTTTTTCATCCTTTACTGTCAAGCCCTTAAAAATTTGATAGGTTCGAAAAGTAGCTTTCCTGACGATAGCCTCATAGTGGTCAGAAAAGCTGAGCTTATTGTTATAATGGAAGCCAAGATCCCTGACAGCGGAGACCTCATTCAGACAATGCTCACGGAGTTTGTAGGCTCTCGGCAATGTAGAGCCACCAATCCTCATAAACACTGTCTTTTCAGGAGCGAGAGGTAAACACCATAACTCAGACCACTTCAAGATGGAATCTAAAGAACTTTGAATCCTGCTTATGTCTTCAATGCTATCCACTTTCCTATAGACTTTAATGTCATCCGCAAACTGCTTGCATACCACTCCACATCCCTCTAGAAGCTCCGGCAGCTCAGCAGTGTAAATAGCGAACAGAATAGGCGATAACACACTTCCTTGCGGAACCCCACTTCTGACCTCCTTTATCTTCGAGAATACCGACCTAATTCTAACCTGAAACGTTCGCTGAAACAAGTAGTTCTCTATCCACGAGCATACCACTGGATGAAACTTAAGCCGCCGTAGTTTAAGCAGCAACTTAGAATGATCAACCTTATCGAAAGCCTTGGAAAAATCAAAGTAGACCACATCACAAGCTTTCTTGTCATCAAGATAAGTAGTCCAGTCGTTCAAACATTCTAAGAGATTAGTTTCAGTGGACCTACCCTTGACGAACCCGTGCTGATTCGCGGGAATAATTCCATTTGTGTCAAGATGCTTCAACATATGTTCTTTAAGAATTTTTTCGAATATACGACAGAAAAAAGATGTGATACTGACAGGTCTGTAATTGTTAGCCAAGTGCGATGGTTCTTTTTTCAATAACGGTGTTACAAAGGAGTGCCTCCACCTTGAAGGGACTATACCATAACAAAGAGACTGGTTAAATAGATAAGCTACAGGTTCCGCAAGGATATGAGCTAGTTTCCTGACAAACATGGCAGGAATCAAATCCGGAGTCAATGAAAAAGAATTAGGCAGTTGCTTCAACAGACCATAGACTGTGACACTGTCGAACCACGGAAAGTCAGTCATTGGACTAGAAACTGAGGGGCCGAAAGCTGGTAAAGAACCATCCCACTCAGAAAACACCTCACCGAACTTGTCTGCTAGAAGGTTGACCTTATCCACATCCAAGACTACAACCTCCCCAGCTTTTTCCAGGAAGGAGATTCTGTGAGCAGATTTGAGTTTTTTGTTCAATAGTCTGATAAATCCGTTTTTGTCTCCGCTTTCAAGAATCTTTTTTCCAGATGCTTGTTGTATTGGTGAAGCAGATGATCAAATTTACGGGAGAACCGGTGAAATTTGTACCAGTCGTTGGCCGAGTGACCTCTTGGCCGCATGCAACAAGCAACTTCTATGATCAAGCATATTCTGAAGATATACAGGGAGGTAGATTTTGGAAGCCAAAATCGCTCAACAGGAACAAACATATCTATGGCATGAAGTAATATACTAAGAAACATTTTGTATTTTTCATTGACCGAGTTGGTAGACTCGAATGACTCTCTCCAAGCAATAGACGACAGATAGGCGCTAAGACTCGGAGAGTCGCAGCCTTTAAAGTCCCTAAAGAAAGTGAACTGAGGCTCGCCATAACTACTGTTTATACTGGCTCGCCATAACTATTGTTTATACTAAACGCTAGACTATTGTGATCGCTACAACCAATCGGAGGTTCGACCACCACCTTACCGACTAGATCGACAACATTCGATAGCGCCAAATCCAGAATACTGTCACCTCTTGTGGGCTCCAAGACATTGTTGAAAATTTTGCGCCAAAAGTACATCCGTAAAAACTACCCCAGTGTTAGCCTGAACCCTATTTTCACAACGCCAATCCACCTCAGGGAAGTTAAAATCCCCGTGTTGTGGGTGTTCACACATGGATAAGTCACTAATAATATTGCCTAGCTGATCGTTGAACATCACAGAGCAGTGTTACGCATGTGATGGAGGAAAACCAAAGCAAAGATTGGAACTTCTCGATGTTAACATGTCACAGGTTTAACACGGTAGTATTTCTTCAAAGGCTTAGCTCACGGTAAAAATTGTTCCTGAGATTTTTCCCTTGGATGGACCTGTGACCCCCGAGGAAGGTAGGCAAAGGGACGCTGTCGGGTCAAAAACTGCCAAGATAGCGCTAATAAGGGGCCTAATACCGGCTCGGCCGATGTACACACCCAAGGTGAGCGAGTTCCCAAGCATTGGCCAGCTGTATGTAGGGGCCGCACTTTGAACAGTCTAAAGACCCCTTCCATGCAACCTCTGTCGTCACATTGTTGCACAACCCCCTGTTTTTTTTTTATTTTTTGGAGCCTGATATCTCTCTAAATACGCCGATTTTTGCATTTTCTTCACCTTTTTTGCACCGTTCTGGATTATCACTTGCCACACTCGTCTGAAGGTGGATACCCTAAAATTATCATACACTGTGCCTTCAAAGGTAAGCTTGAGTGTTGGGGGGTTGTTATGACATTATGCGCCTGTAATCATCTGATTATCTTCCCTCATAACTGTGCTATTCGTTGAAGTTTCGACGCTTCATTTTGATGTGTTACGGTTGTTCTTAACAAAGCCGTGATAGCACGGACATTTTTGAGTGAATACTTTGGCCCAGCCCTCAAGCCCTTACAAGGCTTTGTCGAGGACGCTATTCGACTCGGCAATGTCTCACTTGCTATCCTTAGGAACTACGGGTTTGTCCTAGGGAAAATCTCAGAAACCGTTTCGATCTTGAGTTGTGCATGCTAAAGAAGCCAGTTATTTAAAGTCATAGGTAATAACATCTTTCCAGAAATTAGGAAGGCCACAGCAGCCCGGTCGGCGAAACGAGAATGAACTTGAGGCGGCATAAGTAATCAGCAGATATTCAAGGTGAAAACCTCACCAGAAATGAACTTCCAGCATACGCAGACAACTGCTGAGGTGTCGCCACGGGAGCTGCGGATGTTTGGATAGCAACTGAAGTCCCGTTGGAGCCAGCAGTCATTGGAACTCCTGGTTGCGGTGGTAGGCTGCCTCCACCACCGGAGACGAAAGCCATGAAGAGAGTCTAGACGAAAGGATTTTTAGCTCGAACATAATTGCGATGTCTCCACACAGCATGTCTTACAATATCTCCACAGGAAAACGTGACATTCTACAACTTACACAAAGGTCGACTGGCCTACTGCAGTGTAATTATAGAGCAACACAAGGTACAAAAGAGGGCAATGACAAAAGTTCAGCTTTGCCAGAAAATGCTTCCTAGAACAAAAAAACTGTAAAAAGGTATGTAAAAGGGCTTATGGTCGGGATACTTCGCTATTCTCTTGAAAACAATCGTGAATGGATCGGACCAATGAGAACCATTTGGATTGAGAAAAGTAACCAAGGGCCAGTCGAAAAATGCTGTACTTGTCAACAGATTAACCCCAACGAAGGTAAAACCGGTATCGTTATTTGGTTTTTTTGGTAGCGCGACCATTTGGTTAACAATAGAAATTACACCTGTTTTTCCTTCTCCCACTGCAAATTTCAGACCCCACAGCTTATGGCGAAATTGACTATGTCAAAAGTGGTTCCCGAGTAGTAAAAGCATCTCGCTTGCATGGATACGCTTGCATGGTATCTATGGCGGCCATCTCTTATAACACTGGTGCAAATTCACTTGGAAATCCCAGCGGCAATAATGTCGGGACGTCTTCGGAGGCGACATTTCACAACCTCATTATCAAGGCAGAATACACAATAATTCTGAGGTATTTAGTTTAAGTGAAATAATAGAAGCCAGCGTGCAGTATAATGCAAGTGTGACGGAGAAAGCGCAAAAATGCGCTTTTTCCGTCACCCTTGCACTATTCTGAAGATAGCGGATTAAAAAAGTACAACCCTTTTGAAAAGTAATAAAAGGGGGTTGTACGAGATCGCTAACCGTCTGAGTGTCTCCCATATAAGCGTGCAATTGGTAGCGTCCTAACTCTTCATTGTGTATACTGCAGTCTCAACAAGGTAAAACGGCCACGTTGAGGGTGTACTTTGGCCGAACCGGTTTTGAAGCCCTTATTACGCCCTGGCTAGGCCGTTTTCCGGCCCGACAACACCTATGTAGTAATCTTGGGGTTCACAGGTTCATCCTAGAGGAAAAGATCAGAGCCCTTTATTGTTGACTGTACCTTTAACGGCGTACGATTATTTCTTCCGCTGTTTACAGAATTCGTTACGGATTTTTTCCAGTATACTAACTTACTTAAAAGCTTACAAAAGCCCGTGCCGATTTCCTATTCGTTCAACTAGCAGAAAACTGAAAGACTTCAGCAAATGTATTTGAAACTTCCACTCCAAACTAATGAGGAAATAATCGAGCAGTGGAAAGTAATGAAAAATGTATCGCATTTACATGTACCGACGATTCTCTGGGCGGAGGTGGTTTAAGGAAAAGTGGCGCACTTCACACACGCATGGTCACGGGTTCGAACCTCGGATCGATACCAGCCAAGCCTTCCATCTAGCCGGAACCAGTTAATTGGTACCAGACTTAGCTGGGAGGATAAAAGCAATGGCTTGTACACCGGCTGGCCACCGTAGGTCATTGTGGAGGCCACATACGCATTCAAACCGCCACTACGATTCTCAGTGGAAGTCGAATACGCGGACGCATCCCTCAGACAGTATTGCTCAACGCCTAAAGACTTCATCTTTTTTTTAGACGATTCTTTGCGTGCCTGTCAACGCATCACTTTAACTGGAGCGCCACAAATGGAAGCGCTTTTGAGTGAGATCAACGTTTCAGAAATAGTCGGTGTATTCTTCATCAAAGTAGCTCTAATATGCAAAGAAGCTGATGAAAGTGTAGCTGAGATCATCACAAGAAACTTTGCGTATCTACCGCTAATGTCCAGAGGACATTGCAGTGTAAGGTGCCCGTTTTGCGACCCTCTAGCTCTGTAAGGAAATTATTCTGAGTTTTAGGGATGGAAATTTCGCCAGTGTCCTTGAAAGGGAGAAGAATCGGGGTCGGTGCGATGTTGACCCCGCACGAAAAGTTGTAATGGAAGAGAGATTGACCAGTAGGACGGCTTAAGGATGCGAAAACTTGTAGAGTCTCCCCTGACTACATTTTCACCTATTTCTACCTAGCTGTGTTACTGAGCCAGCCATGTAAGATGTTGAAAAATATTCATCATGCGGCCTCAGTCACTATATGCGACACAGAAGCATATAATGGCTGAGATCGCTAGTGAACAACGATTCTCCTAATTTTTGCGGGCTTTATTTAACCGTTCCCACCTTACCTGTTGGAGAACCAAATTTCCCAGTTCCTCGAAAATGCGTCCACCAATATCCTTGTCATATAAGAAGCAGCAGCAGCAACAGCAACAGCAGCAGCATAAGCCTATGCTTTCAAACTCCAATCGCAGTGCTCCGTTTGAAAATTGCACACCGTAGGGTCCAGGGCCGTTTCATTCAGAAAGCGCATGCGATATGCATGCGATGTGCGTGAGGAGGATCGTTGGTTCATCTGAACAGTATCTGAGAAACGTTTATGCTTACCCTGTCGCACTCAGCGAATTCAGGCCACCGATAACAGAATACCCGGAACGAAATGAATTCCGTTGCAAAGTGTTCTGATGGGAAGACGTTCGTAGATAACCAGGCGCAGAGTCACTGTAATGATAGACAATCAACAAGTCTAATGCAGGAAATCTACGGATTTCCTTCACTGATGGTTCTCTCTCACTGAAAGATCCCAGCCAGCTAGCGATGAGGCTACGTAGGCCGTCCCCAGGTGGCGCATAGGGGAGCAAATCGCCGATCAAAAGTCGCCGGTGCTTACACAGAGACGCAGGTGGATACATGACGGACTTCTTGTTCTGCTGTGCTCGGTCAATATACTTCCGTATTTGCAGGTGTATCCACCCATACGTGCGTGGAGAGTCCGCTGATGCAGTTAGTGTTAGCATCGCCCTTTGAAAGGCATTTTTGGAACCTGGCAAGAACTCTTCCTTGGAACATGCGACAGCAGAGGCGTCGGCGGTGTGGGTGTCCTCGTCAACATGAACTTGACCATCCCAATCAACATGTAATAAGCTCCTGAAGCTCCTCTCAATCGGTAATCCTTGTAAACAGACCATGAACATCGATTTGTACGAAAGCATAACATCCCGATTAAGACGTTTGCAATTGGGAAGATATGGTTCATCCACAGCTCTAAAATTCTTCGTCGCCTGCGCACCAATATCAAGCTACTAACCAGGGAAGGATCCTAACTCGAAGTGGCCATTTGAAATAAGACCAATACTTCTAGACGTGTTTTTGGGCGCTGAATTGAAATCCGCTTTCCAAATCTGCCAAGCGAATCTCTGAACGGAGTTATGAGGGTGGTTTTAGGTGAAATTACATGAGAAAACTTAAATTACATTGAAGCAGCTCACTCCTCAACGGCGGCTTGGTGTATGGTAAGCGTGACGCCTCATGGGCGAGAGGCTAGGGTTCGGGTTTTGTGGGGGACCCGAGTTTTTGCATTATATAGAATTTTTCCCTCCAGGACTAGGAAATACT